CTTTATCAGGTTTGTTTCTCCATATGAACTTGAAACATTTTCGTTGAAAGTCATCTATTACTTTGTCCGGGGGATTTGGGATGGAAGCGAAGAGATGATTTAATTTTGGAATAATTAACGATTTAAGTACAGTATTTCTACCCAAAGGAGTGAGATTTCTTATAGACCAACTTGACATGAGGGTTTCGCAGTGTCTCAATTTATCTTTATAGTTAAGATCACCCATTTCCTCAAGATCTAGATCAATTTTTTTTATTCCGAGTAATTCAAAATTACTTTGTTCCCAATTTAGATTGAAATTTCGACAGAGCTTTATTCTTGAGCGCTTTTTAGAGCCAATCCATAAAATTCCAGTTTTGTCTATATTTACTTTCAATCCTGAAAAACGGGCAAAACACGTTAAAACCTGAAGCACTGCTTGCAGACATCGTTCAGATCCGTCTAAAGAGCAGGTAGTATCATCGGCAAACTGATTGAGTAAGTATTCAACATTGTTTACATGTATTCCTTTTATTTCTGCATTATTCGTATCATTATTGCTAAAATTTGACAAAGTATGAAGAGATATGGTGAAAGTGGATCTCCTTGCCGACAGTCTCTATAGATGTTAAAGTTTGAAGAACTAAAACCATTAACTAATACACTTGAAGTTATATTTTTATAAAATATACGTACCCAGCTTTTGATGGAATCTCCAAAATTGAAAAAGGTGAGTGTCTTTTCGATAAATGACCAGTCTACTGTATCAAATGCTTTTTCAAAATCTACAAGAAGTAAAAGTCCAGGAATCTCTGGTATGTATCGGTGTAATCAATCAAGTCATAAATTTGCCTAATAATATCACCTATGTATCTTCCAGACATGAAACCCTTTTGATCTTCACTTATTAAAATGTCAAGAACAGACTTGATTCGTTTTGAGATATCCATAGAGACAACTTTATAAAATACTGGAATTTTGTTGAGTGTGGCGTAAAACTAAACTCACTCACTCACTTTTCCTTAAATGCAAAACCTTAAGGCAAAAACATTGACACAAATGCAATATAGACAATGTGACGGCGGAACTTTGTGCTTCAAGAAAAATGTAACTCTGAGCTGGGCCCATCTACACGTAGTTACATAACTAAAACTCGAGTGAGTGAGTGAGTGGGTTTGGTTTTTCGCCGCATTTTAGCAATATTCCAGCAATATCACGGCAGGGGGCACCAGAAATAGGCTTCACACATTGTACCCATGTGAGGAATCGAACCCGGATCTTCGGCTTTAACCACTAGGCTACCCCACTGCCCATAAAACTCGAGTACTAGTATATCGAAAGATTTTGTGTCTGGGAACTACTAAGAGTAATTGTCACGTCTGGAGCCCACTGACACAGTCTGCTCTATTCTTCCCAAATAATCATGTTATCATGTTTCACACTTCTTTTAGAATAGACTTGGATACAAATGATATTTAAGGCTATCGACTCTGTTGGCATGGAGATCGCTGTCGCAATTAACATGATTTCTAACGTGTAATCTTCGATGCGTTCTTCGTATGGTCGAAGGGTTGCTTTGAAAATCACAACGTTTAACAACATAAAATGTCAGATTTTCAACGTAAACCAGATTATTTATTATCTGTTGTAAAGTATGCGCGCTATTTTGGATGAAGATAGACTGAACTTATGACAACTATGGAGTGACTGACTGAGTGAGTTTAGTTTTACGCCGCACTTGCAATATTCCAGCAATATCATGGTGGGGGACACCAGAAATGGGCTTTACACATTGTACCCATGTGGGGAGTCGAACCCGGGACCTCGGCGACAAGTATGGAATTATCTTAGATTTACGACAATCTTACGATATCTTAGGGCTACGATAGTTTTGAAAATATACAACGAAAGTCACGATACGTTGGGTTTAGGGTTAAGATCGTTTCGAAAATCTAGACCCTGGTGTTCTTAAGAGTCGCAACACTGAACAACGAATTGTGACGTCATAGATAACTGGGAAAACCGTGCCGCCTTGATGCTGTTTGTTTGTTTGTTGGTTTACGCCACACTCAGAATTATTTTAGCTTTATGGCTGCGGTCTGTAAATAATTGAGTGAGTGAGTATGGTTTTACGCCGCTTTTAGCAATATTACAGCAATATCACGGCCGGGGACACCGGAAATGGGCTTCACACATTGTACCCATGTGGGGAATCGAACCCGGGTCATCGGCGTGACGAGCGAACGCTTTAACCACTAGGTCTACCCCACCGCCCCGTAAATAATTGAAACTGGACCAGACAGTCCAATGATTAACATCATAAGGGCAGCATTTTTCGGGTGTGTGTTTTTGTCATCGCCCGACCCCCCAAAAAACGTGTTTTAAATTCATCCCAACACTGCCGATTCGAACCTAAATTGTACCGCCTTGTCATATAAAATGTTTTTCTTCAGTCGCTGCACAAGTCCAAAGAACGCGAGAATTGTAATAAGAATTACAATAAATGAGAAACAAGAACATTATTCAGATAATTTTGTCTTTATTAAGTTTTTTTCTTTCCCGACCGAACGACCCATGTTCAGAATTTGGTGGCTACGTGAAACATATAAAAAAATGATGCCCTAAGCATCGATCTACACAATTGGGATACGAAGAAATGCATTAACCAAGTCAGCGAGCCTGACCACCCGATCCCGTTAGACGCCTCTTGCGACAAGCATGAGTTTTGAAGACCCAATTCTAACCCTGAATTTCACAAGTCCCGCGGCTGTTCGGCACTCTTTTGTTGACAAGCTTATACATGATTCTGCGTATTTTTACGTTGCATGTGCACTGTTTGCAGTTTGCATGTAGTAGTCAGAGCTACAGATAACTTTTTTGGTCATTGAGTTATGTACTCGCTTGTGTTCATCTTCATTTACGTGTGTGTTATTTATATTTGATCTGTAGTATGAGAAAAGATAAGAAAGACCGCAAGTTGCCAAATTCATGTGCAGAAGTAGAACCTCACGATATACCTCAGTTATTCTATCTATCCTCAGTAACCTCCAACTGTAGCGCAAGGGTTTGCTTACTTCAAATTATATATAGTAGGTTTGCTGAATGCTATAAGATTTGACATTTGTGTGTACGCATGTAAGATCAAATTTATTGAGTATTTACAAAAATTCAAGCGTAATTGTACGCAATAATTGAGTTTTCACATAAATATTTGCGTAATTTACGCATATACGCAGCTTATCTGTACCTCTGTTAATAAGTAGGTTTGTATTTTCAGTTCAATCACTGAATGCACCGGTGGATAAGAAGATATTGCTTGCTTTATGTCTAAATTTTAGTTTAGTTTAAAAGCGCGTTTGGGGCACGGGTGGCCCAGTCTTCGAAGGCGCCGATGGCGTTGGGGTGGCATAGTGGTTAAAGCGTTCGCTCGTCAAGTCGAACCCCCCGGGTTCGATTCCTCACATGGGTACAAGATGAGAAGCCCTCGCCGTGATATTACTGGAATATTACTGAAAGTGGTTTGATTATCCTCAGAAACAAATTCCCTTTGGTGTAAAAGGTGAGGTGAGGTGAAATTGGGTTTAACGTCGTGCTTGAGAATATTTGGCTCAAATGAAGACGTGCATGCGTGTGTATGTGTATGTGCGGTTGCTTGTACAAGCCCAGACGTAAGCTGGTTTTATAGTGCTAGCCCACTGAGATACCATGCCGCAGTGAAGCATGAATACCCCACTCAGACACATTATACTGACTCCGAGCCGACCAGTCCTTGTTGTACCCATTAATGCCGAGCGCCAGGCAGAGACCAACAAGTACCATATTTTAACGTCTTTTGGTATGACGCGGTCGGGGATCGAACCCGCGACCTTCCGCTCTCCGGGCGGACGCTCTAACCACTACACCATGGAGGCGGTCTGATGTAAAAGGAAAATAACTGTGAAGTTTGAATAACTGTGAAGTAGTGCCCGTCATTCAATTATTTTTGTAAAACATTAAGTATTTTTTGCAACGCTGCACAACAGTATACTCTTACCGCATGGTGCTATGACATTTTCAGTTTGCAAATAATAATGTAATAAATATACATATATAAGGTTTGTTTAATTGGGTTTTTAAAAAACAACAACAACAAATCTTTGGGGACTTTGTATTTAAAATGTGTATGAATTCAGACTTGATCTCGTCACTATATGACTGGAATAATGCCGATGTGACGTAAAACCCAACTCAACTCCATGCGACGGCGGAAACAAACCAGCTTGTTCTTGTGATCGTCGTATACGTTGTCCACACACATTTCGTCATAATGCGTGCAAAAAAAATAATAATTAAAGCATAGTATCTTTATATTCCATATCTTTTATTCAACAATGTAAATAAACTCTTATTGCACGTTCTGTAAAATACATACATAAAAATACCGTGTCAGTAACTGCAGTCTAAACCTGTTTCAGCAACGAACAGAACCACTGCAACAATAAACCCTTATTGCAAATATATGTACAATACATACATAAAACATAAAATCTTAGCAGTAACTGCAGTTTTAACCTTAACAAAGAACAGGATCGCTTCGTCAGCACGTTAAAGCACTTATGGACAGGTGTAACAGTTCGTTTTACGTAGAGCACTTGGGCATTTTACATCGATGAAGTTGCTGAGAACCTATTAATCCAGTCCGGAATCTATGAATATGCAATGCCTTTTAGAAAGTGATCAAATATCACATATGTTGCATGTGGGATACACATACCCAAGCACAGATTTTAGTACTTTTTTAATTAAGTCTCATCCGGGATTCGAACCCACACTAGTAGCCTAGATTTACGAATTATTTGTACGAAACTGTCATCAGCATAAATATATACCTTCGTGAAAGTATTCTTCAAAAGCTTCATGTCCGGACTTTCCGTAGCACTTATCTCAAAATCACTCCAATAGTGGCTTCACTTGCAGATTTATATTTACAAAACCGATTCACATTTCAATGTGAATATTGTGACGTAATTCGGGAAGTTCATTCAATTTGTGCTCCTTCGCCGAAATATTTTCTTGATTATGTTGGTTTTCTTTTTTCTGAATTTCAGAGCGGAGAAGACAACATGCTGAAAGACTTCCTTCAAACCCTTCTGGTCGCGAGCCGAGCACTCCACATAACAGTCAGCACCAATGTCCTTGGCCAGTTGGACACCCTCGTCCGTGCTGACCTCGCTGTCTTCATTCCCGACCCGGAGGTCAATCTGGGTGCCCACGAGGATGATCGGTCTCTTCTGTTTGGAATGTTTGGAGTGTCTCTTAAGTTCTGGCATCCACAGGTCATTGATGCTGGCCAACGTCTCCCGGTCACAGGTGGAGAAACACAGAAGCAGGACTTCACTCTCACAGTATGTGAAGGAACGAAGATTCTCAAAGGTTTTCTGAAAAATAATCAGCGTTGTCTTCAAATATTTATCTCATCACATGAAACACTATAGAACATCGTAAACCTGGGCGATTGGTTTACGTATAATGAAGTTTATCTCTTAGCACAAAACCGAGCGAAGTATACACCACTTGAAAAATGGATTTGACAAAATGAAATTACACAATTAACAAATCAAAACAGACTGAAATTCTACACACAAAAAAACCCGGTACAACATCGCTATGATACCCGATTCAAACGCCACCACTAAATCACAATTTCCTGCTTGATTCATGTTAAGGAGCATAACAGGGGTGGACAATTTAACATTCCGTGAATGAGTATGGTTTTACGCCGCTTTTAGCGATATTCCGACAATATCTCGACGAGGACAACAGAAGTGAGCTTCACGCATTGTATCCATGTAGCGAGTCGACCTCGGGTCTTCGGCGTGACGAACGCTTTAAATACTAGGCTACCCTCCGCCCCTCAAACAGTTCAGAACTTTAGTTACCTCCGAAGCCGTGTCGAACATGCTGATAATGAACTCCTTCCCATCCATCTTATGGCGTACAACGTAATTCTCAAATAACGTTGATTGATGATCAGCGTCAATGTATCCTTGTTCGTAACTCCGAGAGATGCTGCTCTTGCCGATGCGGCTGTCTCCCATAACGGCACAATACACCAGTTTGTCTTTCGCGTCATGCTTCATGTTTGCTTTTTTGATCTAGCGAGTTTAAACACCTATACTTGGCGTTGATTGTCAAGTGCCTGCTTACGTTGAGTTCCGCGCCTCCTTATAAAGAGGTTAGCGTCACGGACCAATCAGGTTAGAGGTGATGGGGTCAAGGTTGGGTGATAGCTGTCATGGTCAGTTGATTGTGACACGGTGTGAGTTGTTTGTTCTTCTCACTCTATCATAGCAATTACCACAGATTAAGGGGTCATGTGATCTAATTACAATGTTACAACACGTGATGTCGATGTCAGGACGAAATCAAATTAATGTTTATTATTCTTTACCGTTCACACAATCAATTGTATTCGATTCTTTACATGGACGCGTATCAACAGGATGTCAGACACACGGCCACAACATCGGCTCCAGAGAAAGCGCTTGTTAAAAGATAAGTCTTATAAGAGGTAGAAATAACAGTACAAACTACTGTTATTTCTACCTCTTAAGACTTATCTTTCATTATAGCTTTTATCTTCGCCAACAAGTGACTTTCGCCAAAAATAATGCGCACTAGTTGTAAAATACAGAAGTTAGAAGCTAAAGCACAGGATGTCAGTTTCTTGTTAAAGCTTGAACATTTCAGATAATAGCACCAAAGTATGGTGGTTGATTAGGGCCATCGCTTGATATCGCTTTCTCGCTTTCTCGCCTCCAAATCTTAAGGCGAGAAAGCGAAGGTCCTAATCAGCCACCATACCAAAGTGTATTTTCTTCAAATATTAAAAATATGCACGGCGTATAAGAGAAGTAAGAATATATAGTGTAGGCAGCCGCTTTTTGGTCTGAGCATTTTTAGGGTATGGCATTAAAGTGTATCTACTGCAAATTGACAAAACCGCGTTAACCCGGCAGTTTTCTTGCCTTCATGACAGGCGGCAACAATTATCAAAGATTTATTAAAGTACATGTGTAGTTATTTATGTGTTTAATTCACATTCTTGTTTGTCTTTTAGTAACACTCCGGCTCTTATGACAGTGGTCTGTAAACAACTGTATTTCGACCAGTCAATCCATTGATTAACATCATGAACATCGATCTACGCAGTCGGGACACGATGACATGTGTCAAGCAAGTCAGCGAGCCTGACCACCCGATCCCGTTAGTCGCTTTTTACGAGAAGCATGGGTTGATGAAGATCAATTCTAACCCGGATCTTCACGGGTTAACTCACATTAATACAAAAATGGATAGTATTGGATAACAGATATAGCCATGTAAATGAAGAAACAGAAAATATGTAGGAAACATTAGAAAGTCTAATTTGGAGTATGTGGGTAATTTGTTTTGTCCCTGGATCCTAAAGAAAGACCAAAAGACAGCAAGCAAAGTTTGTGTAACAGATTACCAAACGCCCCAAGACGGTCAGCAATCAAGACCGTGAGACGTAATTAGCACGTATTGCCCGCATATCACGCCCTTTATGTTCCTTAACAAGGCGACAATCAACCATCACTGTGACACATGATATGTACATAGCTGTCAATCAACTGCCTGGCACTGAAATATACAACTGTCTCGAATCTCAACCCTTATTTGTCTGAATTTGATTTTGACATGTTTATTTCGTGAATTTGAACATGTACCGGGTAGGTCAACGAGCTACATATATCTTAACTTACGACTGCTCAGGTAGAAGGGAAGTACAAAAGCATATACATGAGAAATAATGGAACATGTTTGTTTCTTATCACAAAATTTAATTAAGATGTTTAGCTGTACAGTGCATAGATATTGTAAAACAGCCATTCTAACAGTATTATTTCAAATCGGACTGATTTTATAAAGTAAACCAAAATAGATTTCAATAGATTCTGTGAACTCTCAGAGGATAGGTTTGCTCTTCACTCAGGAAAACACATGTGTTTGTTTGTTGTTTAACGCCGAATACTGCAGCTACTAGTATATGGTGCCGGTCTGTAGGTAATCCAGTCTGGACCAGACAATCTAGTGATCAAGATCATGAACATCGAACTACGCAGTTGGGATACGATGACATGTGTCAACCAAGGGCCTGTTCGATTATTGCGAAACTGGTTTTGGTTTCCGAAACTGGTTTCTCCTGTTATAAACGAGTGTCTAGTTTCGGAGACATGGTTTCAAAGTGAAACTAGTTACTAGTTTTATAAACGAGTGGATGGTTTCACCATCCGGTTTCAAAATGGATACAAAATGAATGCCTCAGCTACTATATATGTGGAACGAATTGAATGACAGCATTGCCGAAGGTTGTTTTTAGGTCATTTTATCAGGGAATTAACAAACAATAAAGAGATGAGATGCTTTTGGAGGTAAATATTTGCGTATATGTAATTATACTGTTACAAGTAATTATATGCACACACGTTACATACAATAGTCATGTTCAATAGACTGGGGTTTTAAACAATATTTTCCTAGTTCTAAGGTGATTTTTATCATTATTTTGGTTACAGAAACTGCTGCTCTATTTTGCTACCAAGATCAGCTGAACTTGAAAGAACGCGAAACCGAAACTTCGAAATCTGCCTCGGGGATGGTTTCGAAGTTTCAGAATCCAGTTTTAGGTTTCGACATAATCGAGGGCATGGTTTTCCAGAAACCAAAACCGGTTTAATCGAATAGTCAACGCCTCTTTCGACAAGCATATACCACGTACAGAAACAACGAACACTGGGTAACACACTGACATTGAGCCATAGAAACAAGGCTCCAACATCAGGAACCACTTTCTTGCTGTATACTTATCAAATGGAATTTCTTTTTGGTTTGGCGAAAACAAAACAAAGGAAGCTGATCAAGAAGTTTAACTTACGCATCAATTATCGCTGATCGTATGTCGTTCAATAACGGCTTAACCATATATACTCATGCCAATAATGGTTCTCACCCCCTTCAATATTTTTATAGGAGAGGGGGTGGGTTGTGGGGTGTGTGTGGGGTTGGGGTGGGGAGGGGTGTGACAGCCATTATTGGCATGAGTATATATTCAAATATGAATGAGTGAGTTTAGTTTTACGCCGCTTTTTAGCAATATTACATCAATATCACGGCGAGGGACACCAGGAATGGGCTTCACACATTGTACCCATGTGTGTAATCGAACCCGCATCTTCGACGTGACGAGCGAACGCTTTAACCACTAGGCTACCCCGCCGCCCCATTTATTCAAGAAGAGTATGGATAGGTGAACATGCTGTGATATAAAGACAACATAGGTGCTACTGAGTGATGAGCACCCAGTATTTCTGTCAGTCTTTAATGAGTATCCATCTTTTCAAAGAAGAGTCGCAACGGTGCAAATCTACTGTATTTAAAAGATTATACATGAGTGAGTTTAGTTTTACGCCGCTATTCCAGCAATATGATGGCGGGGTCACCAGAAATGGGCTTCACGCATTGTAGACATATGGGGAATCGAATCTGGGTCTTCGGCGTGACGAGCGAACGCTTTAACCACTGGGCTACCCGCTGCCCCGAGAGAGTGATTGAGTGAAGTTGGACCTTTGCCTCCTTCAACAGTATTCCAGCTATACCACGGGCACGCTCCGGCACAGCGATGACTTAACATAACATCACTGCCACAGGCTAATTTGCATATCACGTGACCGGACTTTTCTCTTGTTTGTAATCAAACGCGCATATTCATAATAAGAAGAGACTGGACTCACGAAAGCTTTTCGGCGCTCTCTTCATAATGTTTTATATTGTTACATATATATTCTTCCACAACTGCGACAGTAAGGTCTATGATAGTACATATTTAGATATCAAACTGGCTGCATCGTTTGCTCTCCATCAGCTTCGATGACAGCACGTGGAGCCGTACAACCTATGTAAACAAAGGATCGCTACGCAAATCGAAATAGTGTTACATGTTTTTGGATATTTTCTCGGTGAAACTAAACCATTCTATTAAAGATGTTTAGGTAGATGTGCAGACTCATCAAAAATAAAAGAGTAAAAGAAATCTGTACATTATATTGAATGGACATTGCACGATGTGACGAATCGTCACATTTTTCTGGCCTGTGGCAGAGATACTATGCTGGCTTGCCACATGGAACTCTGGGTAGGAGAGTGTACCACGGGGTGTCTGCTTCGTGTGGGAGGGAAGCCCGAAGAGACGCAGGCCTTAGATGTTTAATAGTTTGGAACCTTCAGACAGGGCGAACCGGATTCCAACCCACAGGTTCCTGACCCGCCCAAGGGAGGCACCTCTGCATAACGGGCTGAAAAACTGTACAGCACTCACTCACCCACGCATTCATTCGCTTAGCGACTCATGTTCAGGTTATACTGACATGAAACAGAGAAGAGGCGTCCTAGCCTGCGGTTCAACAAGCCGCTCCCGTTCTTTTCGTGTCCGTATAAATTGGGCGTCCGAGTTAAAAGAGCTTGTTGTTGCACAATATTACCATTACAACATTTATGTGTTATAAATTGCCAGGTACAATATCGGTTGGATATATCAGTTAAGTAGATTGACATCTAAATAAATAATATAAAATTTGAAAGTATTGATTCTATTTTAATCTGACCACTAAAATATCTTCAACATCCCCACCCCCACCCCCAAAAAATACAATAAATAAATAGAAAATAAAGTAAAAATATAAATAAATAATAATAATAATAATATAATAAAATTAAATAAACAAAAAATAATTAAAATTAATCAGAAATAAATTATAAATAAATGAAATCAAAAAAAGAAAAGAAAAGGAAACAAGACAGTATATAACTGGTATCCTTTACAACAGCATGGGGCGTTCAGTACTTAGTCTAACTGAGATTTAAGGCAATACAATTAGCAATTATAATTATTAAAGTACTGTCGGAAATAGAAAAAAACCTATTTTTAGGCTGTTACTCTGTATCCCTCAAATTTACACAATTGCAAATAGCATATGTCGAAATAACCCACTTCGGCCTAACTGGGCGTTCAGTGGGA